GATGGATATCGGACAAACAGCCACTAACCCAAGCATCCATCTGGCTTCGTTTCCAAGTGTGTTATATAAATGTTGCTGATGCTCCGTGTCATGAGATGGGGACATTCATTTTCAGGAGCATAGAATTCTGTCTTCCTTACTTGAAGACGATTTTTGTTTTCCTTTTTATCTTGCTTGTGGTGTCAGCCCAGACTTTGTAGTGGTGTAAACTCATTTTTCCTACCAGTGTGATGTTGCCAGCGAGAAGCACCCGGCAATACGCAGTAATTAAGGCCTTTGTAGGTCAGGCATATTTCAATTATGACTCGATTTAATGTCAAAAGCCTGCACACATGAGACAGAGTCTTATGTTCCATGACAGCCTGAAATAAAGGCCAACACATTCCTTTTGAGCCCCAAATACTAAACAGACATTTAGTTGTTTTGAGCCGAGTAGGTTTTAGATGCCTATAAATCACATTGTACAATGGGAGAAAAATCTCCTCCATATGTCGGAAAGCTGAAACAAGGCACTAACACTGAATGATAAAAAGTCACGCCTGCAATAAAAGATGATTAAAGTATTAGTGTAACATCATGCAGCGTACGGCTGCATGTCATCTTTGTTAAGCAAAGAAAGGACCAGTTTTGCACTGGTGAGGCCTCTGTGTTTCAGCTGTATTCCCTGCTGGGCTCCTAGGGTGTATCTAGAATACAGGGTTTTGTCAACAAAAGTGGACTTTTGTCGACAAAACTATACCTGCGTCTACACTACCGCTGAGTTCTGTCGACAGTAAGTCGACAGAACGCGGCAGTTTTGTCGACGGCTGTAAACCTCATTCTACGAGGAATAACACCTTTTGTTGACAGAGTTCTGTAGACCAAAGGCACTATTGCATCCACACTGTGCTTTTTCAAAAGACAGCATCTAGATTCTCTGTCGAAAAAGAGGTTTTCTTTGTTGACAGAACTGGCTATAGTCTAGACACTTTTTGTCAAGAGGCTTTGTTGACAGTATCTGTCGACAAAGCCTCTGTCGACAAAAGCCTGTAGTCTAGACGTACCCTCTAAAGTTCTCAGGTTTCAACTTATGCAATGGCAAAGACCAAGCACAGTCAAGTTTTTCATCAGTGAGAAGAAAGTGAAATAACACTCAACTACAAAACAAGACTTTGCATAGACTAACTGGAAATATCTAGAGTTTAAAATTACTTGACTGAGAAAAAAAAAATCAAAGAAGTGTTGGCAATGAAATATTCCCTCCTTGTTCACTTTGTTGTGCTAACCGAGGCAGAACTGGATTTCCACTGACAAAAGAAGTAATATTTGTAGACTCTCTCTCTCACTGTGTGAGTGTGAGTGTGAGAAAGAAAGAGCACATGCATATGCGCGAGAGGCGGAACACAGAGACTTGGGGCTTCTTTTCCAAACTTTACTCACTTTATTCACAAGAACAATTATTTTTACGACTTGATACTGTTGAATGCACCTTTGGCCCCAGCTGCGATTGGACACCCCAGGGTATGACTACACTATGCAGTCTTTTCAGAAAAATGGCCGTTTTTCCAAAAACACTTCACTTATGTCCACGCTGCAATTGCATTCTTTCGAAAAAAAAATTCAAAAGAATGAAGGGGTTTTTCTGACATTGTTGAACCTCTTTCTATGAGGAAGAAGCTGTTTTCTAAAAAAGCCCTTTCGGAAAAAGGCATGTGTGGACGGGGAAGAGGGAGTTCTTTCGAGAGAAGAGGAAAGAGGAAAAAGCACCAGTGCCCTGCTGGACATTCCACCCATAGTAATCTCAGCTTAAATGCGAGATAGCGTCCATTCAGTGGATGCTTTTGCAGTGTGGACACTCTCTTTCGGAAGAAGTTTTTTTGGAAGATTTGCCTGCAGTCTAGACATAGCCTCAGTTGTTGTTAGGTGCCGTCCTTGCCTCAAAGAGTTTACTGTCCAAATAGACAACACGGATAAAGGGTGACAGAAGAAAGATCACATCGATGGTAAAGTTGGGAATAGAATTCAAGTCTGTTGAGTCCTAGTACAGTGACCTAACTGCTAGGAGCAATGCACAAGGGCAGAATTTTTAATCAGAAGGAAAACTAGTCTGCTTTTCTGTATTCTGAACTTTGGTCAGCTTAGCATCTGTCACAAATTCCATATACCTGTTTTGTTAGTATGTGGTGACACAGTATAAGCAGCTTATGTAACAGGAGACCTCCAACACATTGGGTGTCTCTGGATACTCCACAGCATGGGCTGGAAGAAGGGGCAAGAAGGAGCTTTCATAAATCCCCCAAGCTTTTCTGAGTGCACCTAACACACAGAGATGATTATCTTAGACTCTCAAGTCTGTTAACTACTGCTGCCGGTACTAAGTCTCTAGGAAAAGTCATAAGGGACGTTCAATAGGAAGTAGGCACTTAACTTGCTTAGACAACTGGTAGGATTTTGAAAAGTGCCTATCTGCATCTTTGGATGCCGCAAGGCCTGCAAGTGTATCAACTCTTATTGCTTCGGGGGGTTGCTTTTGGGGCATCCCTAAGGGTAATACTTTCTGCTGCTCCAGCTGATACTGGCGTGCTATTCATTTAGGACATGGGCATGTCCCTCGTGATTAAAGGACCGACACCAGAGTTTTCAAACTCGGGTGCTGTAAATCCATGCATGCTCTAAAATACATGACCTAGTTTGCAAAGGTGTTGAAGTCAATAAGAGATCATAGAATCCTAGGGCTGGAAGAGGCCTCAGGAGGTCATCAAGTCCAGCCCCCTGCCCAAAGCAGGACCAATGCCAACCTGGGCGGCACCATCCAAAATCAGATCACTGATTGAAGGGACTGAATATGGATTTAGCGGTATAATTTGAAACACCTAATTCTGAAGTGCTAGCTTGGACTTCTAATGGCACTCCACCGTCCTCTCAGCTCCTCTGGCATAGGATCGCCCTCATCCCTCTGCTGGACCGACCATGTCCTTTCCCAGCTCTCTCTCGTTTTTGTTTCGCTTTCGTATTTATGGAGTACTGTTCAGTGAACCTTGCACTGGTGCAGTATGGGCTGCAGGAAGGCTGTGCCCTGAACAGCTTACACTCTATGCAGTACAGTGCGGAGGTATGTAACAAAGTGAACACAGCACTACAGTGTGACTGCTTCAAGGGCTTTTTGAGGTCTTTATGACGGAGGAAAGGGATAGCATGGTGGGCTTGAATGGAGAAGCTAATGTGAACAGGGAGGATGAAGTGAAAAATGGTGCAAAATCAGGAGTAGGGGGAAAAAAGGGAGTGACCCAGATTCCAGAGCCTAGCCTGCTTGGGTAGTGCGTATTTGGAGATGAGGGTGGGGATATAAGGTAGTGATGGGTGACCTGTGGCCCAAAGGCCACACGCGACCCATCGAGGCACTATATGCAGCCCAAAGGCCACACACAACCCATCCAGGCACTATATGTGGCCTGCTAGGTATTTTGTTTAGTGTTGCCTATGTGCAAGGCTGCCAGATTACACGGGTTTCCGTGTGCATAGGTTTTTCCCTACCTTTATAACTAAAGTGACACACACCGAAAGCAAGGTTACATGAAGTAAGTGAGCGCTGATTGCACACATTGGCTGCAGCAGCCGGGTGCTCCCTCCGCACCCAATCACAGCGCTGCTGCGGTTCAGTTGGCACCCCCTGCAAATTCTAGGTATGCAAGCACACTTAGCAAAACTGCCCTATGCCAGGAGACCGTCCCGGTTGTGACAATCCTACAGCCCAGTGATGTGAAGGAAGGCCACGGACGTAACCCGTTCACTAGCCTCCCCGTCGCTGATATAAGGGAGGGTGGAGTTTTGCAGAGCAGGATGCGGTGCACGGATGTGAATGCAGTAGAAAGCTGGAGCTAGTGAAGGAATTCAAGAATTGGGAAGACACAGTCACAGCATAGGAAGAGTAAATTGTTAGCTGCAACTTGAATGTAGAGGTGGGAAAAGCAAAGAGTCGGCAAACATTTTTAAACTAGCCAATTAGCCCGCCATAAGACGGGATTTTCAGGTCTCTCCTCCACGTTGGTCTTCTCTCTGAGCCTCCGGTCTCTCGCTCCGTGTATCTTCCTCTCTCTCTCCTTCTCCTACTGCCTCCCCCTTTCTCTCTTAGCTCTCCTCCACCTTCTGCCTCTCTCTCTTTCTCTTCTCCCCCTCCTGCCTCTCACTCTGTGGTTCTCTTCTCCTCCTGCTGCATTTCTCTCACTCGCTGTCCTCCGCCTCCTCCGTTCTCTCTGTCTCCCTCGCGTCCTCTGTGTCTGCTCCGCTTTCCTCTTTTTCAATCCGGTGCCCTTTCCTGATGTCAGAGATGCATGCTCATCCAGGCCCTGCCCCCTGGCTGTTCCCTCTGGGAGGCAACAGCGCCGCCCAGAGGAAACAGCCATCATTTCACCGTTACAAAGTCACAGACATTGGGCTACTATATTTATGATGACTAGAAAAGTTCCCAAAGAGTGAACTGAAGTGTTCTTTCTTTCTTTCTTTCTTTCTTTCTTTCTTTCTTTCTTTCTTTCTTTCTTTCTTTCTTTCTTTCTTTCTTTCTTTCTTTCAAGCAGCAATGGAAGAGGTGTCTCTTTATATCTTTCTCTTGAAACATTTTGCACACCTCTAACTTGTCCTAGTCCACATATAACACCAAGGAATACGTAACCCACCCATCGAAAACAAGGTTAACAAACACTGGCATTCCACCTTCGCCTGGGAACAAAAGGATCTGTAAAAAAGACAACAGAAGAAAGTGGCTTAGTCCTATAATAGCAGTTCAGAAGATATTTGCCAACCAACCCTGCCTGTAAACATTTGAAATATCACTTCCATTGTGAGTGGTATTTCTTGTTGTGCTTCAGTGACCTTAGCATTCTGTAGCCAGTGTTTGAAGAGCAGACAGGGAAGTAACCAGGCATGCTGTAGAGTGGCTGTCACCTGTTTCTCAAGATGCCAGAGGCTAGGTAAGTAGATCCTCTGGGTTAGAGTGTAGGAGCAAACTGGGGTAAATGTTTAACCTGAGTCTTTGGAGTTTGTGGGCTTTTGCCTTTCTTTATTAACCCAGCATGTAGTTAACAGTTGCACAACTACTGGCATGCAGATACCAAAGAGGCACTTGATGTAACTTGCTTATGGAAGAGCGAACAAAGGTAAGATGGTTTATGTTTTATATTGCTATCATACCTACACATTGGAGAGACGTTTCAAGTTGGGCTGAGGACTTTTCCAAACAGGGCAGCCCAGCTTGTAGAAAACAATATCAATATTGTGTTAGGTAGAAACAGGAGAGCATTCAAGATTTCAGAATGAAGGAAAATTTTATATTGCTCTGATGATATTTTCTATGTTTTGGGCACGTTGGCCCAGGTAGTTTTTTAAGCCATGCCACAGTATTATGAGAAAGCTCTCACTTGCAAAGCAAAAGCGACAGCAAAAAATGCTGCTCAGAGTTGTGAATTTTTGTTCTTGGGATTGCGTGATTAGAGCTGGGAATTTTCGGACAATATTTTTTTTCCTAAAAATGCGAATCTGTTGAAACCCAAACTGATTACAAAACACCCGAATAAAAAGAAAATTGGTCTGAAAAGTTTCAATCTTGTCAAAGCATCCCACTGGACAGTTTTGAACCAGAATGTTTTGATTTGTTTTTCAGTCTAAATGACTTTTTCTTTCAGAATGTTCGCAAATTGACACTAGAAAAGTTTGAAAAGAAAAGGTGTGAAATGGAAACAGAGGATTTCAAAATTACTGAAACTTCTTCTGGACTCTCATTCCTCCCTTCCACCAGCTTTTGATTAATGAACATTTTCAAGGTTTTAACTTTTAATCCCAATTCGGACTGGGAACAATTTCAAAATGACAAATCTTCTCATAGCATGGGAAAATCACTTCTACCCAGCCCTGTGTGTGGTAGCATCTCACTAAACATCTTTTGGCTGCTTCGTTTTCATACAAATTCACTTTTTATCATTTTAGGATTTAAAGGGAGTCGTAACAATGAACTCCGTAAAATTCAGAATCATGAAAGTGGCTGCTTCTCCCCTATGTTCTATGGAAAATCATTATCCACGCACACATACATATATGTGATGTGTATATACATACTCCCCCCACACACACGTATGCACAGATTTTTTCTGCTCCCATCTCCCTATACTCCAAACTGTACATCTCCCTGTATCTTCCTGTCTCACTATAGTTTTAATAGAGTGCCCCATTTAAAAAGATGGCCTTATTATTTCTGTTGTTTTAAGGTTGAAGGTTTTCATCAGCTCTTTAGAAGAGTTCAGTACAGCCTAATTATTCCACTCGCTCTCGATGACTGTGTCTTTCTTGCTTTTTATTCCCTTCTGTGTGGTTGTAGGTGTGGGGAGAGTGGTTCTTTGTGAGGGAAGCCAGGTGTTGTTGATTCACAATACACAAAGGATTCGAATGCTATTTTAGCCCAATGCACTAATGAGTTTGATCTTTAGCGCGGTACAAGCGTTCATTTTGTGTTGCCTGTGTATAGGGCAGTCCAGACCGAGTGCGAGGCGAAGAGAACTCACATGCTGTTTTCTGCCTTTTTGCTTGTTGAGGGGGTTGTAAACAGGGAAAGATTCAGAGGGATCTTTGCCAAAATCAAGTGCATCAAGAAAATTCAGGTAATAATCAAAATGCTGGAGCTTTGTTTAGTTTTTTTTTTCAATTTCTAATTAAATTAAACCTGAAATGGAGACTTTACCTATTCACGTGTCTCTAGATTCTATTGCCAATATTAGATAAGATCTGGTGCCTTATTTATAATGATAATAATAATACAATAAAGTTGTTTGCAAACATTAATTAACCAATTCTTCCACTCAGAGTCACGTTGAGTAACTCTTTCTACCATGAATAGTACTGCTGGCTGAATGGGAATGGATTTTATGAATGGGGAAACTAAGGCACAAAGGCAGATTCAAATGTCGGGGTCAGAATCACACAGCCAGTCAGAGGCAAGCTGAGAACAGAACTCACCTCTAATTCTAACCATTAGAAAGTTTCCCATTCCTGATATACTGAACCTTGGAAGAGGGGTCAGGAAGGAATCTCCCATCCCCACATCTAACGATGCACGCGCAGGCACATGCTGCGTGATGAGGATGGTTTATCTTTTCTTTAAGCTACTGGACGCTGCTTGTGGGGGGGTTATGATCACGATTTATTCATCTGACGGCAGCACCCACAACTTTCTAAGCACAGTTGTCATGCATAGAAGAGATAGATTGCTGGTCTGACTCTAAGGCTAGCTCTAGACTACGGGGTGTTATCAGAAAAAGCGACGCAAATTGCACTCTGCAATTTGCGTAGCTTTTTCCAGTTGCTTTTGCGGAAGAGGCTTTCTGCGTCTAGATGGGGCCAAATGGTGGAAAACCCACCTCTTTCAGCAGAGCCCTTATGCCTCATGAAATAAGGTATACAGGTTCTCCCCAAAAGAGCGTGTTTGCTCTTCCACAAAAAAAGCGGAAGAGCAACTGTGTTCCTTGGACATCCCGCAAAAACCTCATAGTCTAGACATAGCCTAAGTTCCTACATTCTCAGCATCCAGAACCAGGGATCAGAGATGGTCTTTTTGTTCTGTTTGTGCAGCACCTGGCGCAGTACAGTCCTACTCCATGATGGGGGCTTCTAAGGGCTACAGTAATGTAAATATATAAAGAATGACTCGTAATTTGTCACTGCTTTGAGAACAGCGTAAGCAAAGGTTCACAAGCTTCTTATAAAATGCAGGTTGAACCTCTCTAGTCCGGCAACATCCGTGGTCCAGCATGATTTGAGTTAGCTGGATGCCCGATTATCACGGGTGTGGTCAAGTTTCCCACAATCTCATAATGTTTGTTTACAGACACCCAGTCCTGGCTCTCAGTGTTCTGTGCTGTTATCTATCTCTGATTTACCCCCAAATATCATCGAAAAGCCCAGTAAGCAGAGAGCAGCCCCGGTAGTGTAGACATACCCCCTGATTTCCCCCCAAATATCATCAAAAAGCCCAGTAAGCAGAGAGCAGCCCTATGCTGCTCAAAGTGGCTGGTTGCTTCATGTGCCTTTCTGCTCCACCTGTTGGTGGTGGGGGGACAGAGGGAGGAGGAAAGCTTCACATGCTGCTCCCACCCCCAGCACAATCTTTCAGCTCCCCTTGGCAGAAAAAAAGTAGAACCCTTTGACCAAAATCTTGGCGTGCCCCCCATTAAAAATAATAACCCATCCCTGTGCTAGACAATATTGACCTCCTGGGATCTGGCAAATTCTCTGGTTTGGCACCAGTCAGATGATTTCACTAAGCGCTATGATCCGTGAAGCTTCACCCTTTTTATAAATTACAGCGGAGGAACTATTTGCTCAGCTCTCACTCCTGTAAACATTGAAAATGTTACCATTTGTGCGGGAGGGGAGAAAAAAAAATCATTCTGGTCTCTTCCCATTCACTGCCCCCCAGCTTAGGCACCCTGACCTGTTTTGCTGTGCTTACAAGATGGAAAGTACAATTGCTACGAACTCTAGGATCTGGTTTGGACTGGACAGAAAATTGCCCCGATCAATGCAAGGAATGTAGCCTAAGGAGAGGAAAATGGGGTTTCAGGCCAGGCCCTGGTGTGATTCCTGTTTGTAGTTTAGTTAGTAAGACTTGTCATGAGCATGGGGAGAAGATAATGTGCAGTTGCTATGGTGAATAATAGATGCTGAACTCACAATGCCATATAGGGCAGGATTTTGAGACTCTGCCATTGAATAGCATCGAAACAAGCGGGCGTACTTCAGGGTAGTAAGTATTAGCTGTACACAATCAGCATCTGGGCCTAGACAAAGAAAGACGTCAGCATCTGGCCCATAAAAAGAGAAAAATCGATGTGGAGTGATATTCATTTTTAAAGATGCTCATGGATTGCTCATATAATTTGCCTCTTCTTAGGCTGCTCACGAAATAAGTGTAAACGTACTTGCAGAGGTACAAACAGCAGCCTGGCACCTGTTGTAAAGTAGCTGAATTCGGATGTTGCAATCCTCCCAGAGGTTACAAAATCAAAACAGGTTCTCTGGAAGAGCGAGAGGCTTGGCAAGTGAACAAGGAACCTTCCATCTGTTTGAATATGCCCTAAGGCTAAAGTGCAGTATTATTTGTCAGGTGCTTGCTATCTGAGACGAGTCTGTGGAGCTCAGTCTATTTCCTGGTGACACTGTGCAAGCAGGCAGTCCTACAAAGCACCTGGCCGTGTGTTGGATTTAAGCAGGGATGCCTAGTACAGGCAGTCCCCGGGTTATGTACAAGATAGGGACTGTAGGTTTGTTCTTAAGTTGAATTTGTATGTAAGTCGGAACTGGTACATATTGTAGGGGAAACTCTAGCCAAACATTTCTCCAGAGCTCAGTTTTATTCTCCCACACCTCACTTCCCTCAGTCCTTTATTCTCAAGCTGAGGTGTCTGCTGAGAAAAGCCGCTCCGCGTCTCCCTGGTCTGCTGGGGGGAAGCAGCTAGTGTGGGGTTGCCTCACTCTGTTTGTAAGTAGGGATCCAATGTAAGTCAGATCCATGTAACCCGGGGACTGCCTGTACTAAAATACAAACAATGGGACATAGTGTAACACCGGCAAATTCCTGTCAGCTGCGGGCAGAATTGAACCTGGGACCGCTGAAGTGGAGGAAGCATGTCGTGTGCGTCAGACCTTTCCTGGACAAGCCCCCACTTGTAACACTGGCAGACCCCAGCCATCTGCTGGCAGAATCGAACATGGGGCCTCTTGAGCTTAGTGCACGAGTCTCTATTGCAGAAGCTAAAAGCAGCTGCCTTGGGGCTAAGGCTGTAGAGTAGACTTGTCATTTTCTCCATAAGGTGTCTCAGTGCTAGTAGAAGGGACGTGCCTCCACCCTCACCCCCAGCAGGTGTGTGGTTTACCGTAGCACATGCTTCCATGCTTTGCTGGGTGGAAGGCAGAGCAGAATGCTAAGGAAGAGATGGTCTATTCAGAATTTGAATTTCCTCACCTTTCCATGTGTACTTTCTCTGGGGCAATGGAGAAACAATGGACGGGCCCCATAGGGAATTTTGCGCTGCTGCTGTCTGGACTTTCTAGGTCTGTGGGTAACAATTTACACTTGTGCTTGTAGGCCGGGCCCCATAGGGAATTTTGC